GACAAAAATACATTACCTGAAAAAATACAAATCTGAAATGAGAAAAATGAAAGATGCTAAGTGAAAAAGATTATAAAATGCAACAAGGTCATTCTAATTTTATCTAAGATGAATATGAAAAAAAATTGAAAAGACACAAGGCCATGTTCATAATCCATATTAATAAGGTTTATTATCTTCCTCTACTTTTTTCAAAAAAGTAGAGGAAGAGTCTATCCATAATCATCAATTACTTTCATGATTAGGAAAAGCTTTACTTATTTTAAGCTTCGTCAGTTTTAGATATTTCCATCTGGTCGAATTAAATCAATGATCTTCTCTCCTGCCCCCAAGTCTGATATCTTGTGTTGTCATTGTTAGTTGCCTTCGAGTTGATTCTGATTCATGTGCCAAAGTAGAACTGTGCTCCATAGATGTTATTAAGTGCCTTCGAGTTGATTCCGACCCATAGCGACCCTGTATAGGGTTTCCAAGGAGCAGCTGGTGAGCTTGAACCACCGACCTTGCAGTTCAAACGGCTTTGCAGTCAGGAGCATTAACCCATAGCGCCACACCAGGACTCCGATCCATAGATAGTTCAAGACAAATCACTGGGCCTGTCTTTCAAGGCATCTCTGGATGGGTTCTATCCAACAGCCTTCTGGCTAGTAATCTAGTGCTGTTTAAATCAGTATGAAAATCAAAAAAATTAAAACAACCAACACCAAAAACTAAAAGCTAAAGAAAAGGAAGAAACAATCTTAAGATAAAAATAATTTAGTTGACTGACATTAGCATGAAAATATTACACGACTGTTTTTACTATCATTTCATATGCAAGGGGGCTTCAAATAGTCAATGGAAAAATGGAACCTAAGGTAAATGGAACTTTCCAATGAACTTTTTGAAGTCCCTTCATATTTGAAGACCTCCTTGGAAGGACAAAAAGACTGTTCAGGACTGCTGGGATAATGAACTGGTCAGATAGGGAACTTGATTAATCAATTCTTCCCTATGGCCTCCTGTTTTGGTTCCCCACCCCCACCCCCACCCCCCATGGCATTCAGGCATGGGCTGGATGTCATTCCAAACTTTTATTCTTCTTGTTTGTATTATTCTTTAAACTACTTGTTTCCCAAACAAATCACTCAAAAAAGTTATCATCCCCTATAATTTACTTCTAGAATTTTTTTTTTTTGAGAACTTAAACTCTTTTCATAACAAGGTTTATTTTGTGCAGAGATTCAAATTTTTAAGGAATTAAACTACTAATAAATGTTTAGAACATTACCTATTTTACCTAAAATTGAAATTTTTCTGTTGAAATGGTATTTGCCAGTAAGAAATTTTGCTCATACACTAAAGAAATGAGCTAATTCAAGACTTTAGTCTATGCACCGACTTCATTTCAAATATGAACAATTCTAAATAACTTACCAAGGATTTATTATCCCTTACCTACGGAGACAGAGAGGAATTGACATGAAGTAACCATGCATTAATTTAATCATGTATGGTTTCAAAATCAGAAATATGAATATAAACATATACATTTTTATCCTATAAAAATCTATTATAAAAGAAAAGAATCAAACTATGCATAATTGCATAAAATGTAATGGTTGTATGTTGTTGTTGTTGTTGTTATGTGCCGCGGAGTCGGTTCCGACTCATAGCGACCCTGCACAGGGTTTCCGAGGCTGTTAATCTTTACGGGAGCAGAACGCCTCATCTTTCTCCCGCAGAACAGCTGGTAGTTTCGAACTGCTGACCTTGCGGTTCGTAGCCCGATTCGTAACCACTACGCTACCAGAGAGCCTTTATAGAATTATGATTATTGCCACAAACACTGATTGGATCAGGAAAGACTGGAATCTTGGTATATCTACTACACTGACCAGTTATCACTTGGTAGTTTTTTTCTTGAATGTGAAAGATATTGGATTTGGAACTCTTACTGTTTCTTGAGGGAGTAATTGTAATGGGAGATATTTGAATTTGGCTAAGGAGTCCTGGTGTGGCGCTATAGGATAAGTACTGACTGCTAACCACAAGGTTGGCAGTTCAAATCCACCATGTATTTTTCATAAAGCCTATATAGGGTTGCTATGAGATGGCATTTGACAACAATGAAAGCCAAACTTTCCAGTCGTTGATGAGGTACATGGAGATTGAATGATTGAAGCGGCCAGTAGATGAAGTGATGAAAGGAAGGAGGTCAAAGACCTGAAGATAAAAAACATTGCATGAAAAAGGTACAATTCTGAAATGAAAACTCAATCAAGTGTGAATTCTCAGACCCATTCCAGAAACAAGGAAATGGGAGATCCTGAACAGTTTGCCAATGTAAGGTGGTATATGACAATGAAACCAGAAACTCAGTTTCCTACCTACAAACTCATTATTTCTTATTCTAGACTGAATTATCTGTGTTGCCACAAGGCAAACCATTGCTTTTATTACTTTAGAAGTAGGTTCTATGACAATTTCCTTTGTGTTCTGATGACAAAAGACACTTATTATTTAAGAAATACCAATTGCTGATCATTAATAATGTTTTAAACATGTTCCTTACAGGATTTAAGTTGTCCTTTAATTCTTAATTTTCTGCGACTGATAGCAGAAATATCTAATGTTAAGAGGAAAGAAGCCTTAGACACCATCTTGCCTACTACCATCCTGGTGGGGGTCGGGGGGAGACAGTAAATCCCAAAGAGATTTGTCCAGATTCAGTCACATTGTGAGTTTGTGGGAATCTCCTGACTCGTAGTCTAGTGCTGCATACTGTCGCAGTTGATCAGTATTCTGAAATCATAGCATAGAGAGGATGTTCATGGGACCCAGAATCCTGATCAGTGTATTAGTGTGGTAAGTCTGTTTTACTTCTCACTTTAATTTTGATGTTTGAGATATTGGGCAGTGGCAATGATGAGAAAAAAAATAATGAGTGGAAACTGTGATACTTAAAATTGTTTTGGGGATTATGAGAGAAATAAGACTGGCTAGAGTTAAGAAAAATTATAATTTTTCATGGAAAGGACACCAAGAAAGAGATACAGGAAGGATGACTGAGGAAATTGATATTCTTCTTGTGACAGGGCCTCGGTTAGGCACTTTTACATGATCATCTCATTCCTCTTAACCATCTTTTATTTTTAAAAATGTTTAGGGGTAGTAGGTTTGAACCTTAAGGTTGGCAGTTCAAAGTCACCAACCTACTCCTCAGAAATCCTATACAGAGTCCCTGAGTTGGAACCTACTCAAAGGCACTTAACAACAACAAACTGTATTTTACTTCCTTTAAAGAAATTGAAGCTTTATAGGTCAATTCTATAATATATTTCACAGTTAATAAGCTGGACAATGGAAGATCCAGGTCTATAAAAATAACAAAGGTAACACAATACTAATACTCTTATAGCAATCTCTTTCAAAAGGATTAAGTGAGCAAATGAATAGGGTTGGCAGGGAGTCTTTGTACTCTTCCTTAGTAAAACAGGAGGAAGAAAGAGGAAATATACTTGAGATTTCCTTTGTTTGCTCCTCTGTTTCCCGCCCCCCCAAATAATCAAAAAACTGAATTAACTTTGTTTTACTCTTATCAGATTATGATGTTCTGGAAAATAATGGATGTGCTGGTGTGTGATTTTATGAAATCAAACCTAATATATTCAAAATAATACACCCAGCTATATGCCTTTTGGATTCCATATTCAATATGTAATGTAAAAACTGGTACTATTTACTGAATGGAAGTTATAATATATACTCAGAGGTCTTTTTCCTTTGAAACTGAATGACATGTACATCCTTATTTCATTATGTGGTCCATGAAAGGTATGTTCACTCTGTGTGAAAAAGCAAGTTTGTATTCTGTGTTAAATCATTAACTTCTCATTTTTACATGTTGTTTTTGTTGTTAAGTGCTGTCGAGTCTTCGAGTCGGTTCAGACCCATAGCGACCCTGTAGAGGGTTTCCAAGGAGCTACTGGTGAGCTTCAACCACCAATCTTGCAGTTCAAATTGACTTTGCAGTCTAGCGCACCAAAAATGAGTCTCTGGTGACACTGTTCGTATCTGTCTGCAACTCCAGTATTATTATGCCTAATTCTCATATTTGAAAGATGTCCAGTTCTGTAGTATTGTGTAGCATCAAGGTGCTCAATTTATAAACAACTATTATTTTCTCTTTTTTACCACTATCTTCTAATGGATTAACAATAATTTGCCATTATAGGTTTGATACAAATTTCGGTAAAGATGAACGAAAACTCAATAATTGATTCCCTGTATTTAAAAATGCCATTCTAACCCACAACTCCCTAAAGTTGATACTATAAAATAAATTATCTTGCCATTCAACATAAAGATAAAACTTCATACCCAAATTCCTCATCTTAATAGCCATATTTTATCTACATAAACAAAATTAAAAGAAAAACATTTCTAGGTGTAGCGATGCTGGAATTGGAAGAGTTTGAAGGGTATAATTAAAAAAAAAAAAATCCATTTCCTTGCTTGAAGACACCTCGTGAATTTATAGGCTGACAAGATTTTAAGATGGGTAGAGTGCCGCTTTTTGCAGGCCCCCCGCAGTTGCAGGCGGATGCCCTCGCAGGCCAAGTAGGCTACGGCAAGGGCCGCGAAGAGTTAACGAGGGATTGAGCCCCCCGCGCCGTGGGCTCCCCGCGCGCTCCCCCCACCCTCCAGTCCCCACCCTCTCGTTTTGGCAAGGGATTAAAGTGCTCCCCCCTGTGGCAGCAGTGACCCAGAAATGAGTTGGATTCACACAGTCCTTCCTCCATAACAAGCCAAACGTCCGTCCGTGAGTGCCTCCGTGCGCGAGTGCCGGGTGTGTGCGCGCCGGCGAGAGCAGGGGCCCGCCCGGCTCCCCGCCCGCCGCTGCCCGAACTCATGCTGCGCGGAGCGAGCGAGCGGCGCGGAGCCCAGCGGAGTCTCGGCCAAGCCCCTCCGCAGCAGGTACGCGCTCGGGCCGCGGGGGACGCGCGGGGTGGGCGCGCCGCGCGTGTGTCCGCGCGTGTCCGCGTTTGGGTCCGTGTGCGCGTCCCAATTCCGCGGCTGCGGCGGCGGCGGCTGCGGCGGCGGCTGCAGGACGAGCCGAACAGGCTCAGCCATATTTGATGGTTTTGTTGCTTTGCTCGGGAGTTCTCGGGAGTAATTTAATGCCGAAGGTCGCTGCCTAGTGGAAATAATATAGTACGTCATTAATATGGCGCCAAAAGATTGGGTTCTCGATATGTAGCGAGGAGGGAGGGAGGCAGCCGCCCAGCGCAGCGTTACTATCCCAACAGTAACTTGGGCATTGCCGGGGCGGGGGCCGGACTGGAGGAGAGGATGATTTTTGGATCCTGAGAATTGATCTTTGTTGGATCAGTAAGTTTTGTTATTGATATTTTTTCCTTCAGTTTCGGGGGCTGAAGACTTAGAGCTTTTTCTTCTTTTGGATGTGACGACCATGTGGTTTTCAGGTGAATCATCAATTAAACGTGTTCTGGAGCAGAAACCCAGTTTAGTTGGCTTTAGTTTATAGAATTATTTCAAAATCCAAAGTGCATTGGAGTGCATGAAAGTGGAAAGCATAGTAGCAACTTGGTAGACAGATGGCAATGGCAGAACGCAGGTCCGTGTACATATCTAAATACAGCGTGTGTGTGACCGTGTGTGTGGACTATATTTGTTCAAACATAGGGCTGTTGGTGGTGGTGTGTGTAGGTACATTTGTGAGGGGTGGTCGCAGCCCTGGCTCTTGTCACCGCGTCACACATGTCCAAAATATTCATTGCATCAATTCAAGGGCAGTGAGCAAGGGGTGTAGGGACAGCTTGGCAATTAGATTCACCCAAATTGGATTTTCAATGATCAGACCTTTTACTTATAACAAGACTGCCTGGAAAGTATAAAATCTCTCATCGGTGAAATTAGGAAGGAGTTGCTTTGGTAGAGCAAAGTACCGATTAATCATGAACTTAAAGCGTATTGCAAATTGCAACCTTTGGCACTATCTGCAAATTGTGGGGGTGGGGTCGCTTGGTCTCCCGTGCTCACGCCTGTCTTACAAGAACGTGCAGTGTGTTCTTTGGGACTGCAAGTTGCAAAGCCCTCTGGTGCACGTGTCTTGTGCTTGTGAGTGTGTGTTTGTGAGTTGGGGGCTGCTGTTCGGCAGCCTTCAGGTTTTTCCGGGTTGCTCGGTACTGACTTGCAAATGCGGGAGAAGGATGGAATGTGGAATGTTGACCGGGGAACCGATTCCTGTCGGAACGGTCCCATTTGCTGGAGAAATTCGATCTCTTCCACCTCCTTCCCCGCTCCCCCCGCCTGCCTTCGGGCTGGAGGCGGGGCCCAGGACTCGGCTGCTGCTCAAAGTGGCGGATCGCGGCGGCGGTAGGCAGGTGCACGGCACCCTCCAGTGGGGGTGCCTCAACTTCCGTGGGCGTTTAAATAGCAGCCTCTCTCCCCTCCCACCGGTAATAGGTGACCTGGCGGCCGAGAACAGCGGGGGGAAGGGGTAGGGGGAGACCCGAGAACCAGTCTCCGCGGCACGTGGGCAGGTGCTGGGTGGCCCCGGGGCCAACTTTTGTAGCCCGCCTCTGGCGTTGGAGGAGAGGCGGCCCTGTGTGGAAATGGGGGGCGGGCGGCGGCTGCGTCTCGGCTGCAACCTGAGCATCACCTAACGGTCCCAGTAGAGCTACCGGTGGCTGGGGTGAAGGGTTGCGGGGGCGGGGATACCCGGCCCGCCGCGCCCGCGCCACTGGAGCTCCGCACAAAGCCCGCGGCGCGGGGGCGGCCATCGCGCCCCCGCCCGGGGAACGGTCCGCAGCCCGTCGCCGTCCCCATGCTGATTCCGGCGGGCGGCCACAGGCGTTTGTTTGTTGGTTCCGCGCCGCCTTCCTCGTCGGATGGCTTCCTGTGACTGAGGTGATACAGTTTCCAGAACTGTCTAGGGGCGGGAGTGGAGCCCGCTCGGGGCTGCTCGCCGTCGCCGCTCCCTTCTCACAACCGTTTCTCCCAGGCGCGCCCGCCCTAGCCCGAAGGTGCCGCCCCAGAGGGACTCGGGGCGGGGGACGGCGTGGCCGTTTCCAGCGACGCAAGTGGCTTCTGGACGCGAGGGAGCGTTTGATTTGCAACTGGGGCCGAGCGGATTGGTGCAGCTGGCGGCGGCGGGGCGGGAGGAGCGGCGGCGGCGGTGGCTGGGGGTGGCCACTTTCAAATGGAGAGGGCGGCGGCAGGGACGCCGCTACGGAGGGAGCGGGGCTTGGTTGCGCGGAGAGGTGTCATCACTGCATCGGGGCTAATTCCGGCGGAGGTGCCGGGAGTTACTTTCCCCTCCTCCCGCGCCGTTGTTTCTGTCGCCTGGGGAGGAGGAGGTGGGAGGGGGCGGTGCCGCGCAGAGCCGCGGCCCAGCTCACACCCGGGCAGCAGCGGCGGGAGCCAAGTGGTGCGTTGTGTGGTGCTGGGCGACAGCTTCCCATCCCGGGCTTACATTTCTTTGGGTTACCACCCCCCCACCCCTACCCCGGCTGTATCACTCCCCATCCCAGGTTTCTTCTCGAGCTGTTCCCACCCTGAGATCCTTTGGCCCCGGGCTCCCCCTCCCGGGCGCGCGGGGGCGGCTGCAGTCCCGGCGCCGGGTGAATGCAGCGAGCTAACAAAAAAGCGGGCGATTTAAACGTGCCTTCGAAACCCGTTACGAATGCGTAGTCACCCAGAGACCGTTTAAAAGCAGCTTTAGCTGGCTTTCTAGTAACGTAGCGGGCACGCCGCCCTCTTCACTTGAGTGAAGGGGGGATTTAAATTTTCGTTTTATAAAGTGATAGCTGCAGTGAAGCACTTAAAAAAAAGAGTTATATCTTTAGGAAACTGGAAGAGGATCTGAGGTTTCCATTAATGGGAATCCTTTAGGGGTTCTCTCCCAAAGGTTTTTATTAGGTGAACTATTTTTTCTTTTTAGAAAACCCGCTGTGAAAGACTAGCTCTCTAGCTACTTGTAGCTCAAGGCTAATACCTTTCAAAACTAATGTACTAGTTTTAAGGTACATAGAAATAATTTCCTTGAAAGCTGATTTAGGTAGTGACCCACCCACGAATGTGTAGAGACTACTATATTAAGCTTTAATTTGATCAAATCTCAGCTAATCAAAGGAAGGAACCTACACAACGTACTTTGTTGAAGTGGGTTGTGCTTACATATGTAGGGAGATTCATTCCTAGCAAGTTTTTGCAACCCAGGATTTTTATTGCCGGTTGATCTGGTTGATCCTAGAGATTGTAGCCCTGTTGATGTCGAATGACTTTCTTATCCTTGTTATTTTGTGTCTTCCTTGAATTTGTATGTTTTTATATGTGGCCTGGAATTGTCATTTCAACATGTAAAGTTTAAGCTTCATCGATCTAACGTTAGCTTTCTTCATTTCTGCCTTCATCCCTGTACAAGCAGTGGTACAGGCTAGTTGCCTGAACATGCTGTAGAACTTGAACTTGATTCCATTTGCTTTCTAATAACAAAAGTGGCTGTGCCACAGAGATTTAAATTTAAACTGGGTAGATGTCCCTTTAAAGAGGGAAGAAACCAACCCTTAATATTTTCCTCTTTACCACGTGACAAGTTTTCACCCCATAAGCTAGTTTAAAAAAAATTTTTTTTTTATGTTAGTCACCAAGATTGAGAGAGTAACCATAAAGGGAAAGCACACAGTGTGCATTTCTTTAGGGAAGTTTATGTTTTTATAAGTATGAACTGTTGCTTGCCCAAAGGCTTGTGGGGAAAGATTAACTGAAACAATCTTGAAGGAAGTGTTGAGAATAATAACAGATCTCCACGTGCGTCAGGCATAATGTTGTTGTTAAGTGCTGTCAAGGTGGTTCCTACTCTTAGTGACCCGGTGTAGGGTTCTGAGGAGCAGCTGGGGAATTTGAACCGTGGAATTCGCAGTTAGCAGTCAAGTGCTTATCCTACAGTGTCACACCAGGACTCTCACTCTTACCATTGTCAGGTGTCGGTTCTCACTCACAGCGACTTGACCTTGTGGTTCACAATCCTTTACTGATCCTACAGCTCCACACCAGAAGTCCCTCATGGGTAATGTTAAGAGTTGGTTCTGACCCATAGCGACTCTGTATTACGGTTTCTGAGAAGCAGCTGGTGAGCTTGCAGTTCAAACAGTTTTGCAGTCTGGGCGCATTAACCCTCAGTGCCACACCAGAACTCACCCTTAAAAGGCACTGAATAAATGTGGATTTTTACTTCAACTCCTTACTTAGTATCTTAAAAAAAAAAAGTACAGTTAAAGAAGAGGTTGTTACATGCACATTAGAAAATACCAAGAAGCAAATAAGGAAAAATGCCAATTCTCAGCACTTGGTGGTTTTGCGTTACTTTTCAGATAATTTTCTGGTTTTGCATTTTACTCAAATGAGACCATATTGTGATGGTGACGCAATGGTTAAGTGTTTAGCTGCTAACCGCAGGTTGAGCAGTTTGAATCCACCAGCCCATCAGTGGGAAAAAAGACATGCATGACACTCTGCTTCCCTAAAAACTAGGAAACCCTATGGACAGTTCTACTTTGTCCTACAGTGTTGCTATGAGTCAGAATTGATTTGACTGCACTCAACAACAGTCTGGAAGGACCTTTTTCTGTCAGCTCTCTTGGTGTTTTAACTATTACTGAGACTTAATCAGATTTCCCCACTTGGCCACAAAATATAATAGATCGGCTTTGTCCAAATGATTGTCCAGTGGAGAAACATGCATTGCATCTGATTATCTCTATTAACATTTTAATCTTTATTAGCTTTTTAAAAATTATTATTGAAGCATATTTGTTGTTGTTGTTATGTGCCGTGGAGTCGGTTCCGACTCATAGAGACCCTGTTCAGGGTTTCCGAGGCTGTAAATCGTTTCGGGAACAAAAGCCTCATCTTTGTCCCACGGAACAGCTGGTCGTTTCGAACTGCTGAGCCAGAGGTTAGCAGCCCGAGACTCGTAACCATTACGCTACCAGAGGATGCTTTATTTTGAGTTACGTGATTTTATTAGCTTTTTGACAGGACATCTAACAGTAAGGACCCAGGCTTTTGTAAATAAAGTCATGGCCTGATTTAAAAAAAAAAGACCCAGAAATCAAAAGTGTCTTATTGTAGCTTGGAAGGCTTACAGAATAACTGAGTTGGGGGGGAAAATTGTCAAGTATTTGTTTCAATACTGAGGTGGTTGGAACAGCAAACATCAAACACTGATTACATCCCACATCTTTCAGGGTTAGTCTGGAGGAGGCTAATCTGTCACATTTCTGCTTCCTTCCTGTTTGTGAAGTTCTTCCCTGTTGTTTACTGTTATGGGGTACCTGTTAACACCATTACAGTTAATGGTCTGT